GTCTTTTGCTTTCTTACTATTGGCCAATGCATTGTCCAATCTCTCATTGCCATATGCCCAAACTAGCTGCATCTCTCTCATTCATCGACAACACAACCTCTTTGTCTAAACCGCGTCCATAGTTAATAGGTCTATGGCACCGACTTTTAATTTCAGTTTGTGATCCGGTACGCCGCTGTCTGTCGCCTGGTGCATTATCTCATCGGTAATTGTGGCGGCTAGTTGTTTTTGATCCTCATCTAAATAGTCTGCACTGAAAAATGTGACATCACCCTGTAGTCGGTTCATCACAGTGGCGTTGATTCCTTTTCCAACTCCCGAACTACTGTAAAAACCCTAGACTTAGCTAAAGCACGGTGGTACGGATCCATTTTCTTCACAGTTTGTGCAATGCTGTGAAACAAACTGTCTATTTCATCGAATTTTCCTCCTTATTTTCCAAAAGGAACTTCATCAGAACCGACGAAGCACTTTGTTTAGAACCTTTTATTTTCTTTTTGGCCGAAACGGGGCTAAATTCAGGAGCCTTTCTTTTAACAGCTGTAGGTTCGATATTACTACGCGGGAACGCAGGAACTTCGTCAACTGTTGTTCGGTTGTTGTACGGTGACAGTTTGTGACGGTTGTGACTTCATTTTCTTCTTCTGACGATGACAAGTTGAAAGAAGACACAGTAGGACAATCAAAAACGTAATCATTCAAATACGTATTCGTAGTCTTATGCTCGTATTAGATGTTGCGATTTTCTTTACAAACATTTTTTGTGCTACGCAAATTGTCTAAATGCCAATGTGTAATATCCACCCTGTAAATAAAATTGTAACGCATTTAAAATCGCATGCAATTTAATTTTTTTGATCCTGTTCTAATTTTTCAAGGTCAGACAAACGGATTTATTTCCATTTTTAGTAACTTCTAGGGACTTTTTTGCCTCTGTTCTGTAAAGTGGTGCTAGTGCGATTGACACATTGTTGTGACACACATAACCAAACAAATTAATGCAATTTCCAATCTTTTTTACCAGTAACTATTTAGTATTCCAAGTGAAGTATTAAATTAATTATATATTACATGCTGGTAAGTAATTTTTATTAGCAGGTTAGCTTTGTTGTTTAATAGTTCGTATATCGTATATTTCAAGATTCTACATTTTTTGTAGAAATGGATGACAAACATTTCTTGAAAAAAAGAGCAGCAGTCAGCCTTTTAATTCAGTTATATAAGAGCCACCCATGTTTATGGAAAGTAACGAGCCCTCAATACAGCAATAAAAATTTAAGAACTGAGGCGTGGGCCTCCATAACATCCATACTAACAAAAAAGTTCGGGGTACAACTGACCGTAAAGGAAGTATCCACAAAAGTGGCGGGTTTGCGAAGTACCCTGAGCAAAGAGATCAAGTTGCTCAAGGCGAATAAAAGATCGGGAACAGGAGAGGATGGAGGGGTTCCCCTTCATGAGTCGACTTGGTGGGCCTTTGATCAGTTACAGTTTCTTTTAGAGTACATGGGTCCTGTGAAAACCAGCATAAGTAATTTAAATTTTAAGAAAACTGTAACGCTGGATGTTGCTGAACAAGAATCCCACGACACATTGTTCGATAATGTTGATGAAAACATTGAAGAATTTCTCGTATCACCTGAAGGTATGTTGGTGCCAGAAGAAAACGAATTCTCAGAAGAAAAGGAGACTTCTGATTTAATACCAGAAAGCATTATGTCGCAACCTGTGTCACACCATCGCATTTCACCAGATAGTCACTATTTACAGTCATCCTCGAAGTCAACAACACCTGCAAACAATCCACAGAATTTAACACCGGTAGTAACTGGGAAAAGAAATCGAAAACGGCCCTTGTCACATTCCAATGACGAAATTATAAACATAATGAAAGAGGCCAACAATGAAATCAAAAACATGAATAATAGTTCCAATAGTTCTTCACTGCCGTCCGATATTGAAACATTTGGTGCAACAGTGGCTGCTGAACTGGCGCTAATTAAGACAGCGCTCCTTAGGAGGCGAGCAAAATTGCAAATATTAGGAATTCTTCAAGAACTTCAGGGTGAAGAAGATAACCTAAAATAATTTGTTGTAATATTCAGTATGTATCAGTCAATATGAAAAATAGTTAATAAATAACACTTTATTAAAAAAAATACAGATTAGTACTTTAATTGAATAAACCAAGTTCCACGTACACAATCTTGGGTACACAATGATGGGTTCATAAAAAAATCAACCTCCACCTCCCCGAACACTTGCATCTTGCCATGGTACAGCACCAACCGTATTGAAGTAGTCCAAAAATTCCTTTCTTATGCTATTAGCCTCAACCCCAAAACGGTTTCCAGCAAACTGAAATCCCAAGTCATGTCCCAGTGTTGTATTAAATTCTTCGGTATCGTAGTGCCTATATCTACTGCTTTGTTTTCGCAAAAAGTTATGTAGAGAACAAGCAGCCAAAGTTATTTTAACAACTTTATCATAAGGCAAGTTTATCGTGGTTCGAAACACTCTAAACCTATTGGCCAATATGCCAAAGGCATTTTCAACTATTCTCCTAGCTCTACTCAAGCGGTAATTGTATATTCTTTTTTGGTATGTTAAATTCCTATTAGGAAATGGTTTCATTATGTTTCTTTTTAATGGAAACGCAGCATCGGCTACAATAACATGAGGCACACGCCTCTCCATTCCAGGTAGTGGGCATTCTGCTGGTAAATTTAACAAATTGTGTTTTAATCCAAATGCTAGTTCAGAATTTTCGAAAACCCCACCATCTGACACTCTCCCATTGACCCCTACATCAATATACAGAAATCCATAAGAAGCATCAACAAGGGCCAATAAAACAATGCTGTTGAATTCTTTGTAATTGTAGAACGTAGAACCTGCGTTTTTTGGGGCTTGAAAGGCTATATGTTTCCCATCTAAGGCACCTAATGTATTTGGAATATTCCATGCCATATAAAACTCTTCAGAAATTCGCTTCCATTCTTTCACTGAAGTGGGCATCTGAAATAAAACATTTATTAACATGTTCTAAGACTTTAATAGGTGTATACAGACTTTCAGATAATCTTCTTTCAGGGTAGAATAAATTGCATCACACACTTCGGGAATTATGTTGGTTAATGATGGTTGGGAAATCCTAGTTGATTGACTTAGGCTTTTATAACTTTCACCAGTGGCCAAATATCTTAAAGTAACAACTAAGCGATCCTCTGCCGATATGCTGTTTCTCATTACTGTATCAGCTTTTCATATTGAGTTTTCAACTTTATTCAAAAGTAAAGTGAAGGCAGACTCGTCCATTCTCAAAAAATTCTTGTACTCCTCTGGGTCTTCGTAGCGAAGCTCTTGCTGAAGAAAATGTAGTGAGCCCCTTTCAGTTCTTCTGGCTCTCCAGGGCTTTACCCACCATCTTCTCTCTTTACGTGCATCCGTCGACTTTGCTAGTACATAGTAACCACACATAAGAGCATTTAACAAATAATACGTTCTCCTGGCCCTGGTTTTTTTGTTCAAAACTGTGCCGCGCATGTTCACGATAGTAGAATTTTTGAGGCTGACCGTTGACCGTTTAAAATTTGAGGTTAGATGAATACTTCACCAACGCTGTCAATTTGTAGTTGTCAAGGTTATCACGCAAGAAATGTAGCAACGTCTGATAGGTATATGCATTTATTTTTCGTTCGGTTAAAAAATATTTTTACAAAATGGAAAATAAATCGCAACGTCTAATACGAGCATTAATCCAATTTTGGATTATGTAGGTTGCCTCCGCGTTGGTGGACGCTTAGTAAACTCTGATTTTCCGTTTTCAAAGAAACATCCGTATTAGTTTCTGTAAATATGACCAGTCAATGAAACGTCCGTTAGAAGTAGTCAATAGTTTGTAGTCGGCAAAACAATTTATAATCAGTTTTATTAGATGAGGAGGATCAATGAATTAAATATTTTATTATTTGTAATATAGTCTACCTTCAAAATAGTAGGTACTAAATTCTCAGAAATGATCGTGAAGAATTTGCGATAATGGGTCTCTCCCAGTGGCGTACGGAAAATATTGTATGCTACAAAGTTGTTCGACAGGAAAATCAGTAGGAGACTAATAATTGGCAGAGCAAGGATTATGTAATAAATTATTATATTATTATATTTATATACAAATATTATATTATTTATTACAAAAATATTATTATATTAATAATCATCTTCTGATGAAAACTATGATTCATTCGTAGAACCTAAATATAAAGTATTTCAAGAGTACCGCAAGATATTCACGTTTCAGAAAAAGCTTGGCCCAGCAAGATTCACATTTGCGAGAAGCAAGTTATCAATTTTGAAAAACGGACAACCGATAGTTTTTTAATAGGGCGCATAGGGATGAACCGACGACCCGCTCCTCGCGAATTTCGAATTTGACTGACCATAGCAAGCAATGTTGCCAACTAGAATGCGCTCTCAAGACGCGGGCCATCCAAACAAGTGGTAGGGCGCTTTGAATAAGGAACGTCGCTTGATGGAGGTGTTTTTAAGCTGACCGGCATTATACCTACTCGTAGGTAATGCACAACCCACGCCCGAGCCCCCACAAGTCCACGGGCCCCGGAAATTTATCCCGTCTACCCCTCCCCCCTCTCACCGGCCTTGGGTGCATTATAAGGAACCACCTATGTATTTTTGTGTCTCCCTCTCCAAATCGAACCAGTGCTTCATTGTTTTCGTCACGTTTGTAATGATAACATCCGCTATTATCCACAAATGTTATAGGTATAGATTTTTTGGGAAAAAATTTACTAAATTTTTTTAATGTTGTATCCAAACAGGATGGATATTTATCTCTGTATCGCGGTCGCGAGCAATGCGGTCCGTGAATCCTGTACTTCAATACTAATCTCCTCAATTCACCGTTTGCTTCGTTTTCTGAAGGAATATCGGCTCTTATGAACTTGTCGACATCAGTAGTTTGAGCCGGCCCGTTTTACACTTTAAAAATAATATGAGCGTAGGGTAATCCACGCATCTGAAATTCTTGAAGATTTGTGTGTAGGTGCTTTAATTTCCGGCCACTGTCCATTAGCTGTAAACGTAAGAAAGTAGTCGGGAGTACCTAATCTTTCGACTACCATCATAGCATTCATATATTTAATTTTCATATATCTCGGTCCACCCGTAAAAGTATACGGCAAATATACTTTTCCAGCAATTACTCCTTCTCCAACGGCCGTCTCATCAGCGTTTATATCGTTTTGTACTTCTTTTAATTCGGCTAACGTAGCCGTTCGGATTCCATTTGAAATATGTATCCTCTTTTGACATCTCGTAATGAAACTTAGACGTTCTTCTTCAATTCGACAATACATGTCGACTAACCACGTTTCGAATAATCTATTAATTCTGAAGAATATGTTTCAATTAACAGAGTCTATATTACTACATTCTACTTTATATCTACTTACTCTGTTGATAACTACGAGGAAATAAATAAATTTTACATTCAAAATAACTACTACTACATAAAAATCAAAAATCACAGTAATATCACAGAAGTTCCTGCTAGATAATATTTGTTATACATAAAATTTAAATAGAAAAATAATATATAACTGATACTTGTTTTAGTAAAATTGGTTATAAAAGAAGCTAATATAAATTATGAAGTACGAAGACTACGGAGTACGAAGTACAAAGACTAGGGAGTAGGAAGTATGAAGTGTCAGATCCCTCAGAAAAATAATTTCGACGGTTTCAACACTTCGACAGTATCAAAACGGGTTCGGATGGGTGAACGTCGAGTCGATTACAAAGAATTGAGAATTTTTAAACGATAATTTATTGAAAAAATATCACTAATAATAAAATAGAATTATGTAGATATGTCTTTCTGCCACAATGGCTTGAAAAAGAAAGTAAATTCTAAGAAAATAATAAAAAGAATACTCCAAAAATAAAGTTAAAGATTATTTTAAAACAAAAAATAAAAGAACTCTAAAAAATAGTCCACCGCTTTCTGCTAAACTATAGCCAAATTAAAAAAAATTTTAAAAAAATTTTAAATTAAAAAAATCTCTATTAAAAGAATTTTGAATTAATTGCATCATGCTCAAGTAAAAATTGGAAAAAAATTTCTGTATTGTATATATTAAAATTTGTAAAAGAACAAAAATGCTTTTTTCATGTACAGGGTGGCCAAATAAGGATGGCTCTCGGCCATATCTCACAAACTAATTGTCATAGAGACTTGCGGTAAAAAATCTTATGACTAAATCGGCTAAAAGAAAATGCTGGAAATAATTTTCAGGTCTCTAAAATGGCCGCTAGGGGGAGTATCCGCCATCTTGATTTTCAAAAGTCATTTTTTTCAAAATTTTCCTAAATAAAGGTATCAAAAATGTGTTTTATTTTGATAGTTAAGATAATTTCGATTATTTTTTGTAATATATTTTTGACTCTATCTTTTAAAATAAAGTGGTGGGGGTGGTTTGAATATTTTGACAAATAAATGTTAATAACTTTTAAATGACTGAACCGATTTTCAAAAAAATGAAATTGTTGAAAAGAGCTTTCTTTGGTCTATAATTCACGCTATATAAGATATTATTTTAATTGCTTGCTTGGCCGCAAGATGGCGTTTTTCGAAATTACTTCAAACAACACCGATTTTCTCAAAAAATTTAAATGCAACGATATAACTTTTTCTTTGGAGAAAAATAGTCAAATAATTACCAAACAAGCCTGTGAAAACCGAATCTCGATATCTCCTTCCTAACCTAAAATATATCTAAAAAAAGAAAAAATCAAGAAAATGCGTATATTTTTGGTGCACTACCAATATAAAAGTCTCTAATTAGCGTTGTTCCATCCACAAAAATTATCAATTTATTAATAATCTTCAAGTATGATATTTAGAAACACCAAGCTAAGTAATATTCATTCAATAATTATTGGATTTCCCTTCTATTCGCACTAGTTGAGAACAAACGAAATAACCATGCCGTGGAAAATAAAAAAAAAAACAAAAAATCTAACTAACTAGTCTACAAAAATGAGCTGGGCATTCATCGGGTTGGAAATACATATTTCTTCGAGTTTCCAGACGAACATCTTCCAATAACCCAGGAAATTCGTTACGTAGATAATTTAGAAATATTTGTCCGTTGAGTCGCCCATTAATAAACCAGGGAACAACAACTTTCACCTAGTATACCACACCACACGTTGATACCAACGTCCTTAATTATTCTGGACCTTCTGCGTCCAGTTTTTTGGTTTTTTTATTTTCCACGGCATGGTTATTTCGTTTGTTCTCAACTAGTGCGAATAGAAGGGAAATCCAATAATTATTGAATGAATATTACTTAGCTTGGTGTTTCTAAATATCATACTTGAAGATTATTAATAAATTGATAATTTTTGTGGATGGAACAACGCTAATTAGAGTCTTTTATATTGGTAGTGCACCAAAAATATACGCATTTTCTTGATTTTTTCTTTTTTTAGATATATTTTAGGTTAGGAAGGAGATATCGAGATTCGGTTTTCACAGGCTTGTTTGGTAATTATTTGACTATTTTTCTCCAAAGAAAAAGTTATATCGTTGCATTTAAATTTTTTGAGAAAATCGGTGTTGTTTGAAGTAATTTCGAAAAACGCCATCTTGCGGCCAAGCAAGCAATTAAAATAATATCTTATATAGCGTGAATTACAGACCAAAGAAAGCTCTTTTCAACAATTTCATTTTTTTAAAAATCGGTTCAGTCATTTAAAAGTTATTAACATTTATTTGTCAAAATATTCAAACCACCCCCACCACTTTATTTTAAAAGATAGAGTCAAAAATATATTACAAAAAATAATCGAAATTATCTTAACTATCAAAATAAAACACATTTTTGATACCTTTATTTAGGAAAATTTTGAAAAAAATGACTTTTGAAAATCAAGATGGCGGACACTCCCCCTAGCGGCCATTTTAGAGACCTGAAAATTATTTCCAGCATTTTCTTTTTGCCGATTTAGTCATAAGATTTTTTACCGCAAGTCTCTATGACAATTAGTTTGTGAGATATGGCCGAGAGCCATCCTTATTTGGCCACCCTGTACATTTTCATATAAGTTAAAAAGATAAAAGTTAGAGTTATTTTAGTAACTTAGTAAAATATATGTTTCATAAAAGTATAAGTTTTCATACCGTATTTATGAAGAATTTTTACAGGGTATTGAGACCATGCAGTATCAGGAGGGACATTCCTTTTAAGTAGTTTTTCTTTAGCCTGTTCGGTCCGAACATTCGGATAATAACTTAAAGTTCCATCAGAACTTAGCCAATTTGATGCAACTATGGCTGGTGCACCATTTTCCTCCACGAATCTTACATTCACAAAACTCATGGTTAAATATGGGTAACTAAAATCAATTACAAAAATTGTTAAATAGGTATTTTAAATACAGGAGTACTTTAAATACGTACATTGTAATGTGACTAAAATAATTATACAGGTTCGGAAAAAATCTATATACAGTATAGCGCGTATATGAGAGCGAAAAAGTAAGAATTATATCTAAGAGAGAACACATAATATTATGAAGAGAGAGAGAATGAAAGAAAACAGAAATAAATATTCGCGCACTCTGTTAGTTATGTAGCTGTGTGTACTATTGTGTTCTCTTTTACTCTCATAGCGTTCGAGGTATACTGTAGATAGATTTTTTCCGAACCTGTATGTATAAACAAAAATGCCCAAATAGAATGGTTGGTATTCAGCGCCCCATTTTAACGTTAAATATACTTGTTTAGCGAGCGACTTAAGCGCTCGGTAAACAGTTGTTTAACTTAAAAAAGGGGCGCTGAATACGGGCCAGTATATCTATAGGTATTAGAAGGTAGTAGAATGGGTAGAATAGGTGGTAGGAGAATAGGTAGTAGGAAGTAGTAGAATATAGGTTGATTTATATTTATATACCTGTCAAAATGTCTTCTATTAGTTTGCATCTGATATGTAAAAAGAAAAATAGAGAAGGAAGAAGAATGTGAGGAGGGAATGAAAAGTTTAATTAGTATGTAATAATGGAATTGCAACGTGATTGTCTTTAAAAGGAAGTAACATCATTTTACCAACAATATCAACAATTGGCCTCTCATAAAGACCTGATAGATTTTGTACGATAAATATTCCTAAAACGGAACTTTCAATAAGAGGTTCTTTAAAAAAATTGTCTTTGTTTAGAAATTCTCTACATAGAATAACCATGCTGTTGCTATTTTTAGAAAACACAATATTATTCACTACAACAATACTTCCATTTTTTAAAATACAACATGAATTAGGACTTGAAATAGTTATCTCGAAAGAAGAAAACTTAACTGACCTATACTGTTGAGATGCATCACAACCTGGAAAAAGTATGCCTGATGAATGCAACTGAGTAAAATGAGGAAAGGTTTGAGATGTTGCAGAATTCCAAGTACTATTATTTAGTTCTCCAAGTCTTTTCACTATTTGTTGGAGTCAGCTTTTCTAACACTTTTTTTAAAAAATTGTAAAACATTTTCAAAATTAAAAGCACTACAATTCTCAAGGGAACCAAATGTAAATACATCATCACTAATATGTGTGAGACCATGCAAATTATGTGTTGCAAATTGTGGTCCATACAAATTCATAAAAGTTTTGATGAAGTGCTTCAAGAGATTTTTAGCATAACTGTTAAATTCTAAGCAATATCTGGGATTTAAAAGTATAGACATTGAAATGCTCAGAGATAGAAAGTGTTCATAATAATCTTTATATCTAAATTTCAACACGTCAAATAGAACTACTGGTCCCGTATACAACAAAAATTATCGAAATTCCGTAGCTTTCCATCTTCTTACATCATCTAATGAACGAGGTTTTCTGTTAAATTCTGAAGGAATATGTCCAGCTAGTGATATTAGGGAATTACTAATTGAATTTATAATCTGGTGAGGCAGTTTAAGCGGAACAGGACCAAATACCCATAAATAAATTAAAGTTCGTACAACTCCTAAGCATACAAGATGCATGTAGTCGAGTGGGAAACTGTTAATAAAATTTATTCCTGGTATATTCACTAATTGAGTTTTTATATGATGGAATTCTTGATCAGTATGATTTAAAAAGTCTTCATGTGTTCTAAGAGGAGCATCACAATGAGAAAATGTAACCCGATGGTTTTTATAAATACCAGCTTGCTTACATTTAGTACATGAAGAATAACCTGTGTGATTTTTTACTCCTAAAATATATGCCTTTGCTGGAGCATCACAAAGAAAGCCTTTAATTTTTACATTTATTATTTTTCCTCCAACATATAACCCATTATTACTAAGGTGGATAACTTCACTAACAAATTCTTGTAAGAATATGACTGAGCTAGCTGGTTTCTTTGTCCCATAATACACACCAATTGGGAATACACATGACTTTAAAGATTCAATATTTGAAATAGAACCCAATATGGGCCAGAACTCACTTGCGCAGCTTTTGAATAATGGTAGACCATTAATGCCAATTAATAAAGAAATTTCATCTATTCCTTCTGGAACCTTTGCAATTATCTTTTTTAAATTAAACTCTAAACCAACATGTGAATATTCTCCAGGTTCAACAGAACGAACAACAACAGTTCTTGGGGTTTTAAGTAATGTTCTGGCATCTACAGGCAAATTATTAAAACATTGATGTTTTTTGAAAATTGTTAGCAAGTCTGATATAGTCATGATTAATTTTATGTTTTAGTGCCCACTCTCTTAAATTGACTAAAATTTGATAATTTTCATTAAAATGCTCATCATCTTCAGAGTCAGAAATGGGGTTTTCGCTAATAAATTTATCAAAAAAAGTATTATCTGGAGAGAACGGCGATTGAGTTTGTGATGGGCGATTGATAGAGGAAAGATGGAAAAAAGGAGTAGTGGAATCAGATGAATCACTTTCATTATTCGTTATCCCAGCATTATCATCAGTATTCTTTATCGTAGCATTATCCTCAGTATTCAGTATCCTAGCATTATCATCTGGATTCGTAGTTCCAGGTATATTACAATTGGATTGGTAATCCAGAGATATTCCTTTTTTTATTCTTTTCATGCGTCCATGCCTAGACATTTTAAATAAAGACTTTCGAGACATTATGCACGTAGGAATTTACTAAAAGCGAAAAACTAAAATTAATTAACTAAAAGCGTGTCTCATTCTGTGTTTTTATATATACAGTGCATTTCTTTAATGTCCCCCCCCCTTTTATTTTTTGAACGGGTCAACTTAGAAAATTGAAATTTGGGATAATGAAACTAATGCATGATTACTATATTTTGGAGTAAAATTGACAGATGAAAATTTCAAGATGGCGACTGGGCGCCATCTTGGAAAATAAATTTAAATGGAAAGGGGGGTCTTGTGATACATCATTTTGAAGCTCCTGACAAATACTCTACAACCCTGGAATATAAAGTCAATATCTGCACCTGCTACAAAATTGCGGACATTTAATAATTACCTGAATAAATCGACGTTTAACGTCATAATTTGAGGAAATAAGCTGAGTTCTGTTCAAAAAAAGCTCGAAATGGTTGCCTTGAACTTCTTGATACAAGAACAGCCTATCCGAACATTTTCGAACATAGTAACGTCGATATTTTTACAAATATCTGTAATTATTTCTCGTATATCCAATATTGAAGCAGGTTTAGTTTCGTACACATTTTGCTTCAAATAGCCCCATAAAAAAAGTCTAAAGGTGTCAAATCTGGTCAAATTCTGGTCAAATCCATTCCGTAGGACCTCGACGACCAATCCAACGATCCAACGACCAGGGAAAATAGCATCCAAATAGTTCATTACTTGTCTGGAGTAATGTGGTGGTGCTCCATCTTCCAATGGACGAGAATTGGCCATTTTAGAGTTAGTTGACGTGCTACCTAACTGCAATGAGAACTAAACAACCGAAAACTAAATGAAAATATTTTGAACACTGGGAAAATCGAAAACTAAAGAGAATATTTTGAACACTAGGAAAACCAAAAACTAAATGAGCATATTTTGACTAAACAATTAATTTTCGTTGTCGTACTTAAATTTTTTGGAATTTTTTTAACCAAAAATAACCTGTCAAACCTTATCGGTTTGCTGTTTGCTATAGAAAAACAAATATTTCTAGAAAAATTGATATTATTTTGTTTGTATTCAGGTAATTATTAAATGTCCGCCATTTTGTAGCAGGTGCAGATATTGACTTTATATTTCAGGGTTGTAGAGTATTTGTCAGGAGCTTCAAAATGATGTATCACAAGACCCCCCTTTCCATTTAAATTTATTTTCCAAGATGGCGCCCAGTCGCCATCTTGAAATTTTCATCTGTCAATTTTACTCCAAAATATAGTAATCATGCATTAGTTTCATTATCCCAAATTTCAATTTTCTAAGTTGACCCGTTCAAAAAATAAAAGGGGGGGACATTAAAGAAATGTACTGTATATATATATATATACACTGTTGGAAATTAAATTTCGCATAATAGGGAAATCAATGTTAAATTCTTAGCCGGCTAAAATCCAGTCTACCAGTATACATTTCAATAGAACGTCGCGATGAATTCTAATAAATTTAATTGTTCTACTGGACCGCACGCCGCGATTTGTAGAGGTACAAAGTTATTTGTGTTAGGTATGAGGTACAAAATTATTTAGAAACTACAATTAATAGGTTTTTTGGGGATATTTCAAAAAATTGTGTGTATCGGTAGGTACAGTTTTGAAATAGCAACAAAATCTTGTTAAAATAAGGAAAAATAAGGAAAAAATAATTCAATTTTCTTAAAATTACACCTCAGCTCAGTAATATGAGATGACATCTGTATGACAGGTTTGGCTATTGTTTAGCAGAAAGCGGTGGACTATTTTTTAGAGTTCTTTTATTTTCTATTTTAAAATAATCTTTAAGTTTATTTTTGGAGTATTCTTTTTATTATTTTCTTAGAATTTACTTTCTTTTTCAAGCCATTGTGGCAAAAAGACATATCTACATAATTCTATTTTATTATTAGTGATATTTTTTCAATAAATTATCGTTTAAAAATTCTCAATTCTTTGTAATCGACTCGACGTTCACCCATCCGAACCCGTTTTGATACTGTCGAAGTGTTGAAACCGTCGAAATTATTTGATTTTTAATCTAACCAAGCCAAAGCGCGGTGTGAAGTCCAGTAGAACAATTAAATTTATTAGAATTGATCGCGACGTTCTATTGAAATGTACACTGGTAGATTGGATTTCAGCCGGCTAAGAATTTAACATTGATTTCCCTATTATGCGCGAAAAATTTTCCAACACGGTATAATATATATACAACTTAATTCATTAACTTAATTCGTTAACTTAATTCATTAACAAAGTATAAATTACACAGAAATTATTACAATAAAAACTAATTATTGAAATGAAAAAATGCTATTGATTGTAAGTAAAAAGAGAAATACTGGATACAGTTACACCGAACCGAGTATCCTACTAATAACTAAGTTTCTTGACAAGGTATAATTATATTAATTTATTGATCGTTTTAGGTATATGAGAATTTATTTTTATTATTTTACGGGAAATAGTAAAGTCGAGTATAATGAAACCAATATAATTAGCATGTTAATTTTACGCTTGATTTTACAGTATCTACAAAGGAAAAATGTTTACCGACGGAAGAAATTTTTGTCAAATCAAACAAACGTTCAATTCTCAATACAATAAAAGAATGGCTTTTCATAATGAATTGCACCTTGCGTACATAATTTTAATTGAAATAATACAAGAGTATTTCCGTAAAAAACAATTAAAATTTTGACAAAAAGGTTAATAACATGAAAAACTTGGTCTCTCATTAACGCGCTCTGTACAATGCAAGTAAATTAACGGATTGAGAAATAAATAATTTGAATGAAATGAAAAAATAATTGTAGGTAAACTTTGATTTTAGTTGCCATATTTCTGCGCATGCGCCAATTTCGTGAGATTTCTCAGCTGACAGCGTCAAAATCTACATCGGTGCCAGTGTGCCAATGTGCAATTTCATCGAATAGAGCGAAATTATTAGTAAAAATACTATTTACAGTTGTCAATAATGTGAGTAATGTTATATTATTAATTGATTTAATTGTATTCACTTACTTATTTGTATTTTTAAAATATTTAAAATATTATTGTAGCTATTGAATAACAAAGTAAGAGAACACAAACCATGCACACACATTCACATGCACACGCATACAGTGATATCACATATCACTTACTATATAGGTATAATTTCGTGGTTCGTACTACCAAAACGTAAATAAACTGAACAAAATAGAACAGGTATATAATAATTAACGTTAGCATCTAAATGATGTAAAAATATCTGTAGATTTCAGAATTTATATAAAATTAACCACAAAAATTCATTAATTAAAAGAAACAACGTCAAAGAAATGTACAGATCAATGTAGTAAACAATTACCTTTGGTAGTAGCTGTTTCTGGCATTTTATAACTACTGACTTGAATGTGTACTTGAATGACCTGCTGGTCTTCGTCGATTATACAAGTTGATACAAAATTGTTTGCAATATAGATAATGGGTGTAGCAAAGACAACTTCCGTTAGACACTTATAGAGAAAAAAAGAAAGGGTGAACAAAAAGAAACCTTTCTTTGTCATATGAATTGACCATATTGCAAACTTTTATGCACTAACGTGTATAAAAAAAAGAAAAAAAAAACACAAAAAAAAGTACCTCGAAAACATTTTTGTGGACCCCGTGGTCAGTGGCTGGAAACCATCGCATCCTCTAGGCTTCACATAATATCTTAGGTCGCAAGGCATATCATCAACATCGGCGGCACGAACATGTCGATACGGTCAAACCGGATACTGTTCGGCGATACAATTCAATAGTTCTGAAAACCTTTTTTCCTTCGCGAACTGATTCCTCCATTTAAATTCTTATAAATACGTGGGAAAAAGGTCTTCAGAAGTACCGAATTGTCGCTTTAGCTTCCGCTTTGCCCGCATCCACGTATTCTCGATATTCTGTGTATGAACATCGGGATCATTAGGATCTACAAAGTTATCCTCATGTATGATCACCCGATGATCATACACACCATTACCGAGCCTACCGATATTATTATAAGCCTGCCAACCGTCGGATATTATGGTGTTTCCTGGTAGAATCTTTCTAAAAACAAAAAAAATATATTTAAAAACTAATCAAACCAAATAAAATTAACATGAAAAAATCTGCAATAGAAATCATTACAAGCATAAAGATGTACTATACAGTGTTAGAAAATTTTTCGCGCATAATAGGGAAATCAATGTTAAATTCTTAGCCGGCTGAAATCCAGTCTACCAGTATACATTTAAATAGACCGTCGCGATGAATTCTAATAAATTTAATTGTTCTACTGGATCGCACGCCGCGATTTGTAGAGGTACAAAGTTATTTGTGTTAGGTATGAGGTACAAAATTATTTAGAAACTACATTTAATAGGTTTTTTGGGGATATTTCAAAAAATGTGTGTATCGGTAGGTACAGTTTTGAAACAGCAACAAATTTTGTTGAAATAAGGGAAAAAATAATTCAATTTTCAGCTAGAATTATACCTCAGCTCAGTAATATGGGATGACATCTGTATGGCAGGTTTGGCTATAGTTAGCAGAAAGCGGTAGACTATTTTTTAGAGTTCTTTTATTTTCTGTTTTAAAATAATCTTTAAGTTTATTTTTGGAGTTTCCTTTTTAATATATTCTTAGAATTTACTTTCTTTTTCAAGCCATTGTGGCAAAAAGACATATCTACATAATTCTATTTTAATATTAGTGATATTTTTTCAATAAATTATCGTTTAAAAATTCTCATTTCTTTAGAATCGACTCGACGTTCACCCATCCGAACCCGTTTTGATACTGTCGAAGTAACCGTCGAAATTATTTGATTTTTAATCTAACCAAGCCAAAGCGCGGTGTGAAGTCCAGTAGAACAATTAAATTTATTAGAATTCATCGCGACGTTCTATTGAAATGTATACTGGTAGACTGGACTTCAGCCGGCTGAGAATTTAACATTGATTTCCCTATTATTCGCGAAAAATTTTCTAACACTGTATACATTACATATACTACATAAAGTTAGTCTTTTACTCTACTTTTAGTCTACTTCACTATATCTAATAGACTACGAACATTACGAAAACTACGACAACAGTTTATTTATCAAAAACTTACTGCACAATCAGTGCCGACAATGTTTCTTGTGTCCTGTCGGGCACCTCTACCAGGAAGCATCTTTTGGAGCCTCTTTCTATTTCTCCAAACACCCAAAGCCCGGGGCGCACTGCTCCCCGGTTGTACTTCCGTTTAAAGAAGTACGACTCGTCGATCTCCACAATTTTTGAGGTGCCGTCATCATTGAAACCCCCAATGAGATTCTCATGGAGGTCAAAATGATGACGACACACGTCTCTACAAAAATTGCTCCAATCGACGACCGTGGTTGTTTGGTTGATCCTTGCGACGCGGGCTATTTCCTCCTGGGGCTGATCCATGCTCCACTCGTGCAATATTACCAACAGTTGGGACAGCTTCAGATGACTACCGTGGATAAGCTGCCCCTCTTGATGGTAACACGAGTGTCGCATATTCGGCATCGCCATGCGAAGCCGTCCACCCCATTCTTCTTTACCCTGGACATGGGGAATCTACAAGTGACAATTATTAATAACTATCTCACTATATTAAGCTATATTAAGCAATACTTACGTGACAGACTTCGCATTCCCGAGAATTTACCAGTAGGCGCCTTTTCGCCAGCCACTGTATCACAGGTAATGGATCCCCCTGAGGCAGTCCCATCAAATGATGTTCTTCTTGCCGTACCTCAGGAGGACCTCTACGGATTAACTCTACGGTCCACAAGGAACAAAACACCTCTTTGCCTCGCCATATTGTTTTCAAATGCGGTTTTAATTTTTAAATATTTAAAAATATTAAGGTTATTTTTTTCTTCTTTTTCCATACACATCTACTTTGCTACTCACTGGAAGTTTTATTTCATGATTTCTCTTTACGTGTTTCGAAAACTCTTTTTGTATTAACTACATAAATCATGAAACTATTTTATTATATTATATTAATTATTATTATTAATAATATAATAATTAATATTAATTATTATTAATTATTATTTTTAATAAAATTTTAATTTTATTTTACCAATATTTTCATTTGCACTGAGAAATCTCACGAAATTGGCGCAAGCGCAGAAATATGGCAACTAAAATCAAAGTTTACCATTATTTCACATTAATATTTAAACATATTTAAAATTTAAATAGTTTACCATCAGGTGAAGCTGCAAGATAAGAATTGTGTATGTCGATCCACAATCCGGAGTCCGCTACAGGTAGATTTTGAGTTTTTTCGAAAATGCCTTTAGCCACCTTCTCTCTGAGTATTCCATATTCCATAGCATCCGTCATACAGCCAGTTGGTTTTAAAACGGATCTAACGAGTACATGACATGGTGTGTGCTTTCTCCTTTTGACAACGCTCCCAAATGTTGATGCTGTCAATCTATGTTTTCTTTCGGATTCATATACCTCGTTGCCAAATTGTCCTATAGAACTAACTTGTATACGGTCCCTATCATTTTCTGTTACCTGCGTATTAAAAAAAATTTGTCAATAATAATATTTGTACCATAATTTTGACTGAATAATAATGAGTTTTACTTACATGCAATCCTTGTATTATTTCTTCGACTTCTTGTTGAATCATTGAAGGGTCCTCAAATTGATCTGCTTTTGGTCCATAATCAGTGTTATTGGACATGATCTTGATTTTCTTAGTTGTTTTGGTTGCGTTGTTAGATTTTTCATCGAACAGTCTTTTGCGGCAAGTCTTTTTTTTTTTAGCACTGTTTACTTGTCGATTGAGAAACATCTTGAAATATTGTCCAGGAGAATTGCCCGTGGCGTGCTTGTAGGGGCTGGTGTGCCACTCTGTTTTACCATTGTATCTGAGACCTGATAGCTGCACTCTTCTTTGATATGAACCTCTCTGAATTAGATTTAACCTTTTCCCTTGGTTAAATCTGGCTACAATACAGTGTGTGTCACGACGAGGGCCCATTAGAAGTATCTGGAAAAGTAGTTGTAATTAAAACTTGAAAATTTGTGTACAAGTATTAGTCGATGCGCTCTATTCAATGAAAATATTTTCAACTTTTCTTTACTTCCGGTTATACCGGGGGTGGACATCAACTTTGTTATTTTAAATGGGACACCCCATATATTAATACATTTTCGAAATGTACGCAAAATTTTAAAGTGCCTTTGTCTAAAAAACTTTTTTCAAAAATTCATACTTTTTGAGTTATTAATTTTTTTTTGAAAAATTTTACCGATGCAGACCCTTATAAATTATTTTTTTATGGGGATCCCTTTAAAGATATGGATACGGTTTCTGTAGGGTGGCCACTAGCAAGGTCAAAGGTATTTGAATCTGTGTTAAAAAACTTTTTATTTTATACAAGGTGTGTACAAAGCATGCGTAAAGTTGAACTTCAAAAATACCAAATTATTTAATTTTTTTAAATGGAACCACCCATTTTTTTCTATTTTAATGAAATCAGCGGTAAAAAATAAGGGAAGTTCATGTTTACTTCCCTATACCTAAACCTAATAGTTTGGAGATATTAAAAATTTTACTTAAACTTACTTTTCTGCCTTATTCTTAAATAATCCGTTTTTACAAGTTGGCCATGTATAATCGTACAAGAACTAACATTAATAATCAATTAATTACAAACCATTTACATGGCCAACTTGTAAAACAGAGTTATTTAAGAATAAGGCAGAAAAGTAAGATTTATGTAAGATATTCAATATCTTCAAAACTATTAGGTTTAGGTATAGAGAAGTAAACATGAACTTCCCTTATTTTTTACCGCTGATTTCATTAAAATAGAAAAAAATGGGTGGTTCCATTTAAAAAAATGAAATAATTTGGTATTTTTGAAGTTCAACTTTTCACATGTTTTGTATACACCCTGTATAAAATACAAAGTTTTTTAACACAGATGCAAATACCGTTGACCTTGCTAGTGGCCACCTTACAGAAACCGTATCCATATCTTTAAAGGGATCCCCATAAAAAAATAATTTATAAGGGTCTGCATCGGTAAAATTTTTCAAAAAAAATTAGTAACTCAAAAAGTATGCATTTTTGAAAAAAGTTTTTTAGACAAAGGCACTCTAAAATTTTGCGTACATTTCAAAAATATATTAATATATGGGGTGTCCCATTTAAAATAACAAAGTTGATGTCCACCTCCGGTATAACCGGAAGTAAAGAAAAGTTGAAAATATTTTCATTGAATAAAGCGCATCGACTAATACTTGTACACAAATTTTCAAATTTGAATTACAACTACTTTTCCAGATACTTCTAATGGACCCTCGTCGTGACACACACTGTATTCATCAACCGCTCGACTGCATTATTATTCTGGAATCAAATTGTTTGTTGCATCTCCAACTGAATTACAAATTTCTGTACGACACAAGGCATGATTTCCGTATACGTGATGAATGCCATTTTTTAAATCTGCTCTAAGTAAGTTTATATTACGTTCTTCCTTCTTAGCATGTTCATAGATTGAAGTTTTTGCCCTTTTTAGGAGAAGCTTCATTTTCTTCTCCGTCAATAATTTTTTACTCGCCAGATCTATTGTAGTATCCTTTTTGATATCTCTAAGACGTTTTCCATAATTTTTTAATGCATGATTCGTACATTCAATTTTCTTTACATCGGTTCCATACGTAACTTTTTCCGTAATGTGCTTGTATACACTGGAGTTTCCGTCAGCTATAAATTTCATGTATCGTTGCCCATGCATTTCTTCGCCTTGCACAACCATATGGGCTTCCATAGCAGGAGCTGATTGGTTCCAATTTTTATAACAGACGTGTTTTTCGGTTGTTCTGCAACTATTTTCAGCTCTAGCACACACAGAGCAGAATTTGTTTCTGACAGCAGTAAAAAGTAGTTGTCCAGTATTTTTTCCTATAATGGCTACTATTCCAGATAACGCATTATAATTAGTACCATACGATCGTTTACTCCATGATCCGTCGACATATACTGTAATCCAAGGGACGCCGTTCTTACAGTATTGCTGTTTTTCTATGGCAATTTGTTTCTCTTTCTCACCAGCCCTTTTCATTGAATTAGTAAGAGAAACTTCCCAGCTCTGCAACAAAAAAAATATTTAAAAAACAGTCAGCTATTTTTGAATTATTATTATTATTAGTAGTATTTTATATGACGTCTTACCTTTCCTAAATTGTTTTCCATTTGATAGAACATATTTGAAGGCATAGTCGGTACATCTATGCTGGCAAGCATTTCACTCATATGTGAATAGGTATTTCCGGTAGGTAGGGTTCCCCATACTGCTCCTATGTTTATCAGGGATTTTTCTCGGTTAGGATTCTCAGTATGATAAGCATATTCCTTTGGACAACTGGAACATTGGTATATGATTACACTCGTCAATCCCTGTCGGCGTTCTTCTTTAATGGAAAGCATTCCAAGTGTACAGATTTTGGAATGATTATATTGCAGACGTGTTGCCCATTGTAGTACATATCCTAGTTCGCCTATTCTGTTTCCAGTTATAGGATTTTCTGGTGCAGGTACAGTTTCATATTCCAATTTATAATTGCTAATTCTTTAAAAAAGTTATTTGCCATTAGCAACTTCAGTACAATATACAAAATGATATGGGACGCATTTATCTAAACATATCTAAAACTAAACATTTTCCCCCAAATAAAAAACGAACATAAAAATTAGTTACCGTTCATATTCATCAGAAGAAATGATCCCTAGTTATTTATGCCGAAACACCTTTTCTTCTGGTCCCCTTTCTTCAATATGTGTTTCGGCATTTCCTTTTTCTTCCAGTTGCTCTTGGATGTTGTCCTCTTGAATTTCCTGAATTTGCTGTTGATCTTCTTGGATTTCCTGTTGACCTTCCTGTATTTCCTGTTGATCTTCTTGGATTTCCTGTTGCTCTTCTTGTATTTCCTGTTGATCGTCTTGGATTTCCTGTTGTTCTTCTTGTATTTCCTGTTGATTTTCTTGGATTTCCTGTTGCTCTTCTTGTATTTCCTGTTGATCTTCTTGGATTTCCTGTTGAACTTCTTTTCCTTCCTGGATTCTAAAAGCGATACACATAAATCAAGCTACATCGATACATACATTTATTATTGTTTATTATTGTATATATTTTACGAAAAAATAAAAAAAGTCACTGATAATAATCCGGTGAACGCAATGTAAATTTAAACTTTTATAATAAAAAAATTTATAAAACTTACATTTCTTCAATTTCCAATTTTTTTCATTCTTTGCCTTCCAATAGAGTCGCAAGGATTTCGAAACCTTGCTTCTTTTTCTTCCTTTGTGGTAGGTACAAAAAAATAACCTAATTAATTATTAAAATTGTGTCCTTTTTCACAGTGGAGGGAAAATAAATTAAATAGGGATACTAAATTACAACTAGACACTTATAAAATAATTACAATATTAAATTAAATTAAAATATGTATATAATCACAATAAATTTGCTACCCTAAATATTAATAAATTTTAATAATAATGTGGTATCATATATAAAAAGCGCACAGTTTGTACCGATAGCACATATAGCACAAATAGTACCACAGATAGCACAACTCGATGATAGCACGTCGCATAGCTAATTGTACTAAATACTAAAAATTCTGAAATGAAAGTTCAAGCCCGAAGTTTAATGAGACTACCCAGATGGGGTAAATTGAACGGCGAAGAAGACCCCAATAAATTTTATTGGGGTAACAATAAAAACAATTGGCTTTTTGCCAAGTTTTAGGAAAGGCATAAAATATATAGAAAAAATTAAAAATATAAATATAATAAATTTTATTTTAATAAAATGTACAAATAATAATAATAAGTATACTAATATAATCAATGTGTTCCGGATATGGAAAGCTTAATTTTTTTTCTTCAATTAGATAAATGGAGAATGTTTAACACTTTCGCTGCTCACCTAGTTTGAGCGTCGTTAGCCCAATGCGCATCAGGTTTTTTGAGAAAATTTTCAAAATTTCAATTAATATAATTAAGAAATGTTAATAATGATACGTCCCGGCCCATACGTTAATTTTCTGAGGATATTGATTGTGCTCTTCCCGAAAAACATGTGGATTGGTATTGTCCCAGTATCTACAATTATGTTTATTGACAAATCCATTTAAAAAAAATCCTGCCTCGTCAGAAAAACAAATATTTTTAATTAAATTAGGGTCTTCATTTGCTCTTTGACTCATTAATTCGCAGAATTCTAATCTTCTGTCATAATCATCCTTAGCAAGCTGTTGTAAAAGCTGTATTTTGTAGGGAAAAAATTATTTAGCCGTAACGTTTTATGCACCGAGCCGACGGAAATATTTGTTAACCTGGAGACTTTTTGTATTGATGTTGTATGGGTTGTTTGTATGGCAAAATGACCTAAAATCTCATCTTGTACAGCTTCAGTTAAAACTCTACGATCCTTGACACTTTTATTGCACACACTTCCAGTTTCTTGAAATTTATGAACTAAATCCAACAAATACTGATGTCCAACATTTTTATCGGGATGTCTTTGATTAAAAACATGAGCAGTTCTGCGTGCACAGTGTTGTTCTTCTCCATAAATAAAGATTATTTCAATTCTTTCTTGTAAAGAATAAACCATTGTCGAAAATTGTTGGTCAGTACAAAACGAAACCAAAATACTAATAGTAAATTGTTTAAATTTATAGTCAAAAATATCTTTTGTAAAAACATTTAAGGTTTTTTTCTCACTTGCTTATCTCGGTATTTATACTCATGTATTTTTTTAATTCCAATTCAAAATTTCAAATTTTTAACCGTTTCTAGCTCATAACTCGTTAAAAAATAATGCGATTTAAAAAAAATAATGTGTCAAAAAATTGGAAAAAAAGAGACCTTTAAAAAGAGCTATCACATGATACCCCTTCTTATTTAAACTTTTAGAAGTGATATTCACCCCCGCTTAGGGGTTGAAACTGCAGGGTGACAGATACCTGCAAAATTTGTCCCCCCGTAAATAAAAATTGACGTGTTTTTTTGTTCTTTTGTTTTAAAGATATTTTAAAAGTTATCTTGGGTGGCTAGTTTTGAAATGAAAGCACTGTATACAAAATAAGTCGGGTTTGCTCAGAAAAAATGTTCGTAACAGCATCCGTTTTTAAGATACAGGGTGTTGAAAAAAATATTTTTTGCACATATTGTTCCACCTATCCAGAAAGGGGGAACATTTTTCTGAAACACCTTGTATAACAAAAATAATTTATTTTTACCTGGTTTTTCTCAATATTTTTCTTCATTTCCGGCGGAGGTGCTTCAGGATGTTTCCTTTTAATATGTTTAAACAAATTAGTTGTAGTACCTGTCGACTTAACATCATTATTGCACAATTTGCACACACCTCCTATATTTGTTTTCATGAAAAATTTCCAGATATCACTTTTTTCACGTGGCATCTTATTTTTAGTACTCTAGTACTCTGCATCTGTACTTCACAGTTTCTGTACAGAAATGAAGTATGAAGTATATTGATATGACATTGACATCTTTGATTTGAAGTGTAACTAGAATTAAAAGTAATTTCCATCTCGCTCTATGACAATACTAATGAGAGAGAAAAACCATCTACAGTTTACACTATTTTACATCAACGTCAAATATGCATCAAATATCAAATATGCCGAATAGCCATAGTGTAGCTGCGTATCTTAATTAAAAATAAGAAGATCAAATATCAAAATGTAGTTCTCTGAACAAACTATATTTCGGGAACTTAGATTACTCATTTTACAGTACTGAAAAGATTGTTGCTTAACCACTGTAACTATGTACCATTTACTTTTCGATACGATATTACGGTAAATGTATCGATACACAGTATTGATATAGCTGAGAGTATCGATACAAAATATTGAGAATCGAAAGCTTTAGCATCGATACTCGAAAGTATCGATACGTATCGAACATCCCTACTATAGACTAATGTTTCACAATCACAAATGATTCGAAAGTTTGAATAACAGAATCACATCAGATTTTGTACTGCCCAAGCTCAACAACTGACTGCATTATTTTTATAATATTCATGAGAAATGCAGTGTTGTCAACTCTGTTAAAGCTTTTATAATATTAGAAAAGGACAAAATATAGTACAAAACAGAAAAAAAAACGAATAAACCTATACAAGGTGTTCCATAATGACATGCTAATATTTAAGGGGGTGATTCTTGGGCCCATTTAAAGAAAAAAACTTTATATGAACATATGTCCTAAACCTAAAATGTATTATTTTTTAATTTTAGCACAGCGGCTAATGTAGCGGCAGCGTACAAATAAATGCATTTATTTTTTTTTATCCGAAACAGAGTCGTACGGAATAAAGCCAAGAAATAAAATTTGTTCTAAATTGAAGAGGATTTCGAAAATAATTTTTATTTTAATATTAGGCAGTGGCGTATCAGTTTTTTCTCAAAAAATATATAATGCAATACCCAAAAGGACGCCACTGGTAATAATAATAAAATTATTTGTACATTAGAAAATGCATCTTGATTCATAGAAGACTTGTGCAAAATTTCATAAAGATGTCAACAATAGTATCACAGTTATTTTAAAAAAATGATTTTTTTCACACCCTACTGTAAATTGATAGAATGTGTAATTTTATACTGCATTAAATTATTACTTATAAGTATCGTTATTCTCGAAAAATATATATGTGTATGTATTGTAAAAAATACTTGACAATTTCGTACCTCTGGCAACTCTGTTGTAAAAGGTTCGAAATTACTAAATAACAAGTTACGTTCCATAATTTGATAAATATTCCATTAATTTTAATATCTTTTCATTGTATTAAAATTGAAATTTTATCCTTAAAGGTATAATCTCAAAAACCAATTGACACATGTATAAATTTCCTTTTATTTTCAGAAAAAAGTAACGATTCTAATGACGTCCCCCTCGATATATAAATTGACGTGTCTGAACGATTTTTCATTTTTTCTACCCAAAAACACGTCTGTTTCCTTCTTAAAAATGTGCCACCCTGTATACGTATAAATATCCCCTAAATTACTCCCACTCCCGTCGTCTTTCCTAATGATTTTTTTAGAGTTTTGAAACGTTATTTGAAACGAGTTATTAAAACTATAAATAAAAAGTAAAAAGGTTAAAAAAAACTCAAAAACGTAAAGTTAAACTATTTTATTAAGTATTAAGTATAAAAGGTGTAATTTAATTGAATGGAGCGGCCGCCCCGCGTAGCTCCGATTCCTTCATTACGGCGGCGGCGGCCGCCCCTGCCCCTCCATCGGCCCCGCCCTCTTCTTCCACCCCGACCACCCCGCCCTCTAGATGTCGACGTGGATACTGAAATTAAAATTAAAAAGTTATTAATAAATAAGTTTCATTATTAATGATTATTAATAATTAAAAGGAAATTGAAAGGTTTTTAATAATATATCACCGGAATATAGACAAAAAATATTTTGTCTATATTCCGGCCGTTTATTATTAGTTATTATTAGGTTCTGTACTTACTTGTAGAGGCGATCGACTCAAGTGGCGCTAGCGCCAGCTGGGGGCCCGCCGGCGCCATATATGGCGTCGGCGGGGGCGCCGGGTACTGCGCCAGAGGGGGCGTCCTCGGGGGCGCCTGGTATGGCGCCAGCAGGTGCGCCATATAAGACGCCGACGGCCAGGGCGCCCATTGTGGAGCCATGAATGGCGCCAGCGGCGGCGGGTCGTCTAACAAATCCGGGTCTGCAAAAAATATTCAAATTAAAATAAATGTATTAATGACTTGTTACCTTTGTGGTCATTACAAGTAAATTCAGTATGTAAACAAAATTTTGATTTTTTATGATAAATTAAAAAAATAACCTTCTACTATAATTCGAAATTCAATTTACATATTTCAATATAAAATTTACAAAGCTATTGAATACTAACACATTGTGTAATGAAATTATTTCTGGATTGATTTTACATGATGAAACATGCATACATATTTTTGTTTTTCAAGTTATATAAGTTAGTCATGGCAAAAAAATACCATGTAAGAGTAAACCTCGGCGCTTATTTTGTATTTCGCGGCGCAATTTATTAAATCGAATTTATCGATTTTCTCGAATTTTTCGTCGTGATTCGGAGTAACAGCCACCTATACGGGAAACTGCGGATAAAAATTGAATTCCTAGACAACCTTCTGTGGAACTGCATAGAAAATCTTACGCTCTTAAATATGTCTGCAAAATTTCGGGACCGATATAGAAATGTAACTTAATAATAAAAGCTTCTGTACATTTTTTTTTTCTTCTTTTATATTTTAGATTTTAGATTATATATTAGATTCTTCCATTTTATATTAATTTTTATTTATAAAAACTAGCCATTTAATCTGGCTAACAGTAGGAGTTGATCGGTCAATGGAAGGGATTCAAACGATTCCACGTACGGGTCTCCGGCTGACCAGCGATGGGTCAAAGTTCACGCGTAAATTCGCAACGATATTCGGAATTTATTAGAAATAAATTAAATTATTGGGTCGGGAAAATTGCTTCATTACATCCCCCCTTTTCTTCGGAGAAAATAAATTAATGAGTACGGAGTTCGCGGTGTCGGGGTGTCTCCCAACATTGCTGACGGGTGTGTCCAGTTCCTCCACAATTCCAACAGGAATCTTTGACGGATGACACGGGGTTGGGCGATCCGAGATGGTCCTCCACGACGAAAACGATTGTTGGTGACGAGTGGAGCGATAGGTCGGTCATATCGGTTGTTGATAAACGTGTCTTCAAACCAATGGCCGGATCCGCGTACGGGGACTATAAAGTCTGACGGAGTACATTGGGTGGCCTGGTCAACCTTCACCGTCGTGGTGGTACCAAGTTCAACGGAGTTAGGCGTCGAGTCGACGTCATCCTGTATAGGTATTGGCCGATTGTGTTCTAACGGTATGTCGAATAACTCGGTATCGTCGTCG